AGCAATCCCACTCCTGGGCATTTATCCAAATGATTACAAACAAGGCCACACTAAAGCCACCAGTACAACTATGTTCATTGCAGTAGTATTCACCATAGCTAAGATATGGAACCAACCCAGATGCCCCTCAGTAGATGAATGGAGATATATATATATTATATATATATCACATTATCTTGAGATATGGAAATATATATATGTGTGTGTGTGTGTGTGTGTGTGTGTGTGTGTGTGTATATATATATATATATATATATATATATATATATATGTAGTGGAATTCTATGCTTCCATCAGAAAGAATGACATCACCCCATTCATAAGGAAATGGAAAGACTTGGAAATCATCATATTTAGTGAAGTAAGCCAGACCCCAAAAAACATAGGCTCCATGATTTCCCTATTTGTAGTTAGTATATATGTAAGATAGTTAGAGCAGAAATTCACAATAGCCCAATAGCTATGCACATAGGACCACATAAAATGATGTTAATTTAAATTATCTCTATGATATGGAAAGAAGAGGTTTTTGGTGTGGTTGTTTTTTCTCTGTGTGTGTGTGTGTGTGTGTGTGTGTGCGCGCGCGCGCGCGCGCGCGCATTGTTTGCAATTATTTCTTTTGTCTTTCATCTTTTTCTCCTCTGGTTTATTCCCCATGGTTTCTGTCTCTGATTTTTGTATCCTTTGTAATGTATATAAGTTTATCTGATTTGGGGAAGGGAAGAGGAATCACAGAAAGGATGGACAAAGGGTGAGCCAATGCAACAGGGATACTAACTAGATACTATGTTGGAAATGAGCTTTTGGAGAACAATGGAACTATAGAACATTTATAAGGTGTTTTGTTGCTCACTCAAGGCATGAGAAGTCAAGAACAGCAGTGAACCCTCTCACCACCTCACTTTGCCACCACTGGAACCTTAATCTTGGCTGTACTTGATCTTCTGGCTCTCCTCCAGCAGTCTGTTGTCTCTCCCACTTCCTAGCCTGGGCCAGGCAGTGTCCAGCAGTCCCAGAAGACAGTGTAGCCACTATCTAAAAGCTTGTGAGTTCTTTAAAACTGTCTTAACTATTAAGCCTCCAGGGACCACATACTGTCTTTGAACAATCCCTATATTTTTGGGGGGGAGGGTACTAGGTTTTGAACTCAGAACCTTAAGCTTGCTGGGTTGGTGCTCTACCACTTGGGTTGTGCCTCCAGCCTGTTCTCACAGGTTGTTTTTGAGATAGGGTCTCACTTGCCAGTGTGGGCATGTGAATGAGCTTTAACTCAACTGCTTTTAGGGTTTCAGGTGTTGCTGGGATCATGAGTGCCCATCACCACAACCAGCTTCCTTCTGTGGAGATGAGTTCCCAAAATTTTATGGGCCAGGCTAGACTAGAACCACAAACCCCTCATTCTCAGCCTCGCACATAGCTTGGGTCCACTATGGGTTGAAGAAAAGCATCTCTCAAACTTTTCTGCTTAGGCTGTCCTTGAACCTGAATCCTCTCCTTCTTCATTTCCTTAAACCAGGATTATAGGCATGAATCACTGGTCCCTGGTTTGAGATAGGAGTCTTAATGTTTTTTCAGGACATTCATTGGACTAGGCAACAAGAGAAATCCCTAGGCTGGTTAGTTGAAATCTTGGTCTTTCCCTCTTACTCAGTAAACCACATTGGGACTCAAGTGGATCCAAGTAATATCATCCAAGAATATGAGCTTGAATCTGTTGCAAATTTATGTATAGTTCATATCCAAAGTGTAATCCTTAATTATTTAATACAAAGATTTAAACACTACTATGATCAGAGACCCAATCTAGAGGTAAAATGACATCTCCACACTTTCTATGAACTAGTTCTGTGTCCCTGAGGATTCTAGCTGTGTTTCCCTGGGGACTAGCCCTGACTCCCTGGGGACTACTTCTTTCTCCCCAGAGACAAATATCCTTTGGGGTCACATAAAGATAAACCATTTGAGGCAGAGTTTGTAAGAAACTCAAACACCATCCCCACTCACTTTGACTGTAGGAAGAGCAGCAGAAGATATTGTTAGTAGCCTGAGGTGAATGAAGTATTGCTGCATCTTGTGACAGTACTTTCTCAGAAAGTACATTCTCAAAAAAGCAGTATGGATTGGTAACTGGCTTACTACTCTGCTGTGGCCATCAACCAGCATATCACACATGAGGAATTAAGGGAAGCATGGGTAAATATTCAAAGTACTTTGCCACTGATTGAGTCTCAAAAATGAAAAATTAATTCAAGTTACCCAAACTTTGACACATGTAGAAGTTTTTTATTAAAATGATAGTTGAAGGAAGGGTGGCACTGATCAAAAAGAAATGTACTCAGTACCTGATTGTACATCACCTCCACAATGATTTTTAATGATATTTGATATAAATTAGCACATTTCTTTTTTTTGGGGGGGGAGGTCTGGTCTTGGGGCCTGAACTCTGGGCCTGGGCGCTGTCCCTCAGCTCTTCACCTCAAGGCTAGTGCTCTACCACTTGAGCTACAGTGCCACTTCCACCTTTTTTTTTCTGCTTATGTGGTGCTGAGGAATCGAACCCAGGGTCTCATGCATGCAAGGCAAACACTCTACCACTGAGCCACCTTCCCAGCCCAAATTAGCACATTTTTATATCAAGTTATTATATGCCTGCCAAGTAAGGAAGCATTATTACATGGAAATTTGCAGACTTGAAATAGCAGTTTTGCATTCTCCTAACGAAAAACTGTTAGCTTAAAAGTTTTTTGTTTTGGGGTTTTTGTTGGTGCTGGTCCTGGGGCTTGAACTCAGGGCCTGAGCACTATCTCTGAATTTCTTTTGCTCAAGGCTAGTACTCTACCACTTGAGCTACAGCTCCATTTCAGCTTTTTTTATAATTTTGTAGAGATAAGAATCTCACAGACTTTCCTGCCCAGGCTGGCTCTGAACTATGATCCTTAGATCCCAGCCTCCAGAGTAGCTAGGATTTATAGGCCTGAGCCCCTGGTGCCTTGCCTTCATGTTCTTTTTTAAAAAGTGAAATATTAAACTCATGATCCAACCTTATTAACAAGAAGACGTGATGTACAATGATTGGAGATTCAGTGTCACCTGGCTAGCAGCCAACTGAGATAAGACTTGAATGTTACAGTGCAAAACTCACTCTCCTCTCCCCTTCCTTTTCCTCCTTTCTTCCTTCCTTTCCCACCCCTCTCCTCCCCTTCCCTCTTCTTCTTTTTTCTTTCTTTCCAATACTGGAGTTTGAACTGAGTGTCATGAACTTGCTAGACAGGTGTTGTATCTCTTGAGGCATGCCCCTAGCTCTTTTTTTTGTCAGTCGTGGGGCTTGAACTCTGTGTCTGGGCACTGTCCCTGAGCTCTTCAGCTCAAGACTAGCACTCTACCACTTGAGCCACAGCACCCCTTCAGTTTTCTGGTGGTTAATTGGAGATAAGAGCCTCATGGCCTCTCCTGCCCAGGCTGGCTTTGAATCACGATCCTCAGATCTCAGCCTCCTAAGTAGCTAGGATTACAGGCGTGAGCCACTGGCTAAGTTTTACTTCCTGACCTGGCACCTGAGCTACAGTCTACCTATTTTATGCTTCTATTATATTTGGAAAAACAGGTTTATGCCACTGAGCCCAGCGATAGATTGAGATGGGGTTTCAAGTATTTGCCCCACCCAGCTTTTTTAAAAATTGTTTCTAGCAAAAGAGTTTTATTCATATTCTTCTAAGATGGATATATTTAGAAGTTCAGAAGGGTGATTGTTTCAAAACTTTGTGGTTTGATGGAATCCCGTTTGTGTACTTCTGCTCTGTCCATATGCAGAATCTGAAAGGCTTATCTCCTGGAAGTGGAGAATACAACTGTTGATCAGTCTAGGAGGTCTTGGGTTCTTTCTACACCAAAGAAAGAATTATGAAGTAGGAAAAGTGGGTAATGCTTAATTGAAAGTAAAAAGCCAGCCAGGTGCAGTGGCTCATGCCTGTAATCCTAACTGCTCAGAAGGCTAAGATCTGAGGATCGGGGTTCAAAGCTAGCCCGGGCAGGAAAATCTGTGAAACTCTTATCTCCAATAAAACCACAGAAAACCAGAAGTGACACTGTACTTAAGTGGTAGAGTGCTAGGCTTGGGCTGAAGAGTTGAGGGACAGCACCCAGGTCCAGAGTTCAAGCCCCACGACCGACAAGAAAAAAAAAAAAAAGAAAGTAACTAAAAAGCCAGGGATGTGCAGACAGCCTTTTAATTATAATAGTTGGTTTGGTATAAGCCCCAACCAGGACTTCTGACTGGAGGGAGAAGAAGAGTACAGAATTCTCACTAAAAAGAGCCAGAGGAGACCCATAAATCAGTAGCCCAATGTAGGCTCATGGAGTTCTTCTCTATAGCTCTTGGGGCAAGTCTCAGCTGTTCTGGAATCTGGCTAGGACATTGTTCTCCTCATCCCAAAGGAAGAAGCACCTCTCCCCTGCATGGGTCTGTTCTATGGCCAGCAGGGATCTTGTCTTCAGAAAGAGGAAGCGGTGTTATCTCCACCTGGTCATGGTCTGGTATCTCCCTATCTGCCAAATCTTTCACCTTTTGTCTCACCATAATCTTCAGATGCTAAAGAAGGAAATGGATGGTGTGGCCAAGTGTGTGGCTACTAGATACAAAGTTCAATAAGAAATACTTTGCCGCTGATTTGCATAGTAAGATGATGATAGTTAACAATAATTTATTGTATGTCCCCAAATAACAAGAAGCAATGACTTTGAATGTCCCACAAAGAAATTATCTATATTTAGGTGATGATTATGCTCTTTACCCTCATCTCACCATTCACAGGGCAAATGTGCACTGCCAATTACAAAATAAAATAAAATGACCAAAACACAAGGGCCACCTGCAGGCTGCAGAGGGGAAAATCAAATCATTTCATGGGAATGGAATGTCAAGCCCCCTGAGAAGCAACAGGACAGGCTTACAGGCTTGTCTGAGACCTGAAATGCACTGACCACTTCTCCTTCCCTTACAGGTTCCACATGGGAGAAGACATTTCGGCAGATTGGCTTTGAAAGGTAAGCTGGAGTCAGCACATTCCACTTTATTCTAAGTGGTTTTTCCATGATAGATTAACATGAAATCCTAGTTTGGGGTGAAAAGCCCCAACTCTAAGGGTCTCAAACAGACTGAGCTGGGTTTTCCATCCCTATCCCTACACACAAATTAAAGAGACTGGTGAACATTAGAGAAAGGAAATTTAGTGGAATGTAGCCATGTTGGGAAGACAGGGAGGCTCTGTGACCCTGGGATTATCTTCAGGATATTTGCATAAATTTTAGGGGAGTGTGTGTGTGTGTGTGTGTGTGTGTGTGTGTGTGTGTGTGTGTGTGTGTGTGTGTTAGTATTAAGATTTATACTCAAGGTCCTATGCTCTTGCTTAGCTTTTTGCTCAAGGTTGGCACTCTATCATTTGAACCACAGCTCCATTTCCTCCTTTTTTGCTGCTTAATTAGAGATAGGAGTTGCACAGACTTTTCTGCCTGGATTGGCTTCTGAACCTTGATCATCAGATCTCAGCCTCCTGAGTAGCTAGGAATACAGGTAAGTTTTAGGTTTAAGTAAAGGAAGATGGGGGAAGGAGCCAGGTATATGTGATCAGATGGTCATGATCAAAAAGTGTGCTCCAGTTTAATGGTTGATGTTTATCCTGGGTTATAGGATGGTGTCTGGTCACAATAAGAAGGCAGTTTTCTGCTGCTGTCACAAGATGATCTTGTCACTCCAAGGTGACTTGGAAAGAGCACTAAGAGAAGAAAAGTTTAAAATTACCCTGAGTGATAGGATGGTTTTCTTAGGCCAGTGTCCTAAGTGCTTTAAAGGGTCTGTTTGGCCTTAGGTGAGTCTTCCTTCTTCCTTTTATCTTCCTGAGGCTCCAGATCTTTGTGAAAAACCTGGCCTGCACTCAGGGGGGATATAGAGAGTAAATGAAGCAGTGTGTGCAAACACTCCTGGCACTGTGATCCTGACTAAGTGGCTATAGAGAATTTCTGGAAATGGAGCTGACTCTCCCCAACTTTTACCATCCTGTGTGTGATTATTGTCTAGAGAAATTTGTACAAATATTGACCTGTACCCCAATTATTAAAATCAGTAGTAGGAAAAATTGGGACCTTATCACTATTAGCTGCCAGCAGCTTTACATCAGCATTTTCCTCCAAGAAAAGAAGATGGATCCATTGCAAGCATTAGGAATGTGGGTCAGGCTCAGCAGAGCCTGAAGGAGCCCATAGCTGAGACACAGTGACAGCAAAGCGGAGGGCTCTGACCTGGAGCTTTTAGCATTCTTTGCACAACTGCCAATGTAGGTATTGCCCTAACAGACAAAAGTATTTTAATTTTATTTTGTCTAAATGTATATTTTACTTGTTCTTTTCTATTTTTTCTGGTGTTCAGACTAGTTCTTTGTACTGCTTGGACAATTTGTTTTTCAGTGTATTGAGCAAGCCTCAATAAACAGAATATATAGAGAGTATGTAATGTATATAGAGAGTATATAAAAATAGTAATAATTGTTATGGGGAAAAGAGTCCACCACTCAGAGACAGCCTCATGTAAAAAGATGACTTTATTGGGGAAGTGGATAGCTGACCGGCCAGGGACGCAGCACAGACTTTGGAGCTGAAACTGCGACCCTGAATGGCCCACAAGCTAGGGTTTTTAAAGAAAAAAATCCATGTGGTCAAGCCTGGTCACACACAGGTGACCAACGGGAATGTAACACACATGTAAAGATTGTATATTTATGTCAGTGGCCAATGGAGTTACAGTCTGTCTCATAGTAACTGTTTAAACTAACCTATCATCTTGGTTTGAATTGGCTCTCGAATTTGGGGTCCTCACACAAAGCAGGCAGATATTCTTACTCATAAGGGCTGTACATTCCAGAAACATAATGTCATATGCCCCTGTACCCTTGAAGCTGGAGGTTGTTACAAAGACAGCTGCAGGAGATTTATTATAAAGATAGCTACAGGAGGATATACAATGTGCCAAGGCAGGTGCCATTCTAATTAGGCAGGGTATGAGAGAGTGTGAAATGTTTTAAGGTCTCCCTTTATGGCCTCTCTTTGTTTTTAGTAAAGGGTCAATTTCTTGGCTTAGTTTTTCTCACACAGTCTGGGACCTTAACAGTCTAGGAGACCCTTCCCCCCCTACAATAATAAGCAGGATGCTAGTGGCTCACACTTGTAATCCTAGCTATTCAGAAGACTGAGATCTGAGGACTGTGGTTTGAAACCAGCTTGGGCAGAAATGTTTATGAGATTCTTATCTCTAACCTGCAAAAAGCCAAAAGTAGAAGTCTGGCTCAAATGGTAGAACACCAACCTTGAGCAAAAAAGCTAAAGGATAGCTCCCAGGCCCTGAGTTCATGACCCAGTATGGGCAAAAGAAAGTAATTAAATTAAGAAATAAGAAAACCATTAAAATTGCACCCTTTCTCCAGTAGCAATAGAGAACACCCTTCTGCAGCCCTACTCTACTCCTTCCCTCCATCTGTTGATGGATTCCAAGATTCCCTTATTTCTCTGTACACATTTTCAGACTTCTTGCAAAGCACCATCATTGGCCCTTATAGATTTGGCAAGGGGAGGGCATACAATGCTGCTGTGACTTCTCAATTTTGTTGTTGGACCAGAGAGCTTCATAGGCAGCCTATAGTCCTTGTTGTTTGGAAGATGAGGATGAGGGATCACAGTGCAGGGCCAATCAGGGCATTATAGTTCATGAGACTCCATCTCACCCAATGGCTGGGCACCAGGGCAAACACCTGTCATGCCCAGCAATGTGAGAATACACAAGTATTAGGATTACAGCCAAGGGCAGCTCAGGCATAAAAAAGATCCTACCTTGAAACAACCAAAGGCAAATGAACTAGAGGCATAGCTCAGTGGTAGAGCTTCTGCCTAACAAGCCCTATGCCCTGAGTTCTATCCCTGGGACTTGAGAGTAATCCTAAGAGCACTGGCCCTTTCAATGTTGTGTCCTCTTTGACATCTGCTAATCTACTAGATTATGTTAAAGTGATCATACTTGAAGGGAAAGAAGTAATGTTGTCACCTGAAGCTTCAAAGCTTTCTCCAAGAATAAGAAAGCACAGATGGCTTGTACTTTATATTGGATAACCCAAAGGAAGACCTGGGGACCATCCCACTGGCCCTCCTTGGGTAATGTTTGCTGAGATGCGGGGTGGGGGGGAATCCACTGGCCCTCTTTGGGTAATGTTTGCTGGGATGTGATGGGCTGTCCCAGGGGAGAGGCATTCAGCCATTTGAATTTCAGAAACCCTGTGGCTATACACACACACACACACACACACACACACACACACACACACACATATATACACATAAATACATACATATACATATATATTCAGAGATAATATTATACACATTATATACATTGTCACCCTTTCTGTGATTGAAACAGTGATTTCAGACTACTGAAATCACTGTCTTACAAACAATTGTATCTCCTTTCTTATTTTATTTTAGGACTCCCTACATTTAGAGATGTGTTGAACCCTGGAAAGGAAGCACATATCTTATGTGTCACCTCCAACATAATATTACAATATTGCTATCAACACAACAAAATAGTCTCAATGGTTTTCTATTTCTGTTATTTCCTGAACTTCAAAAGGTTGTACAAGTAGGTTACAATTTAACATGTCCACCTAAATGTTCTGTGCTATCTGATCAAAGTCACCCCTCCCATCACTCTGTCCTGTCTGTTTCATTCCCCCAGATGCATTTCACAGCTTTCACATCCTTAATAACGTATGTGTATTGAATTTTCTGGCTGTTTGTCTATTCTTCCATTTTGCCTTCTTCTACTTTCTATTTACACCCCCTTTTAACAAGCTCATTTCATCTTCCTGATACTTATTTTGTTAAATTGTCTGTTAGTGTCTGAAAGGTTTACTCAGGCTTCATTTAACTTTTTGTTCTAAAAGAAACAACAACAAAACCCTGTGCTTAACATATTGGGGCTTCAAGAAGAAAAGCTGATGGTTCTGTGAAGATTTTCTAAGTTTATAATCAGAGTAGACTAACACTTATAATTCTAGCTACTCAAGAGGCTGAGACCTGGAGGATGATGGTTGGAAGCCAGCCTGGGTAGAAGGCAGTTTATGATACTTCAACTTCAATTAACCAACAAACAGCCTGATTGGAGGCATGGATCAAATGGTAGAGTATAGTCATGAGCAATAAGCCAGCAAGAGAACAAGGTCTTCTTCAAGCCCTGGTACCAGAAGAAAGTGGGAGAGAGAGTCAGAGACAGAGAGAGACTGAGAACACAGGACCCTGAATGCAACCCACCTCTGAATCCACATTTGCGTCAGCCTGTGGCACTGTGGTCTCCATGGGATAAACAAACTTGGATAGTTGCACACTGGGTCTTAAGTGCTCCCACCTGAAAATGGCATTTGTCATTGCAGCTCATGGTTCACAGGTGGCACTCTGCTGTGTTTCCTGAAGGGGCTAAAAGCAAAAAGCTAGAAAGTTCTAGTAATAGCTATGACAATAAGGTCTGAGCAAGGTCTGGACATGTTTGCTCTTTCCATAGCTGGTCTCTTCATCTGAGAAAAGTCCTGCAATGAGTAATAAGATTTGAGCATAGCAACCTTCCCGCAGAGGGGGAGGCTCTGCTTTCTCGGAGTTCTTACTCGCACCTATTTAAAAATAATTGTCTTTTCTTGATCACTTGACCATTTTTACTTAAAAGTTAAAGACATTGTCAAGGGTATGTAATCAATACAATGCTTCAGATTACATTAGTATTAACATTATTGTGTGTTATTGGATGTGCAGTGGGGATTTGTGGAATGAATTATCTTGATCTTCCTAAGAACAATGTAGGATATAAGCCACCCTAAAAATAGACCACCATAATGAAACACATATGCTCCTAGGACTCTTTCCAATGTAGACACAACTCAGAAGGCCCAGTGTGGTCTTTAGGGGGGACTCCAGCTTCATGTAGCACTGTCTTGTCCAGGTCTGCTGTCTGC